ATGAATTTATATGCTTGTCTACCCACATACTTCTAAGCCAGGTCATTCAAAACTCAAAATAGTATCATAGAATCATAGCCTGGAAAAGACCTCTAAGATAATCAAGTCCAACCGTAAAATATTTCAACACATAATGAATTGATCGTAAGAACAAATGTAATATAGTATGAAAGGAAAGTAAAAAACAAATATATGTACTACTAGTTACTAGCTTTACCTCAGATCTAGCCAGGTGTTAGAGCTAAGCATAAGGGAGTATGAGCTTCCTCCCCTCCTTTGTTGCTTCTATGCTGTTTCTGAAATCCTTTTCTATATTCAGGAGAAAACACTGTAATACTATTGATGTTCTACATGTTTTGTGTGATACTTTGATGTAGCTCATTCATTCTCCCTGAGTTTCAGTTAATAATATTCATTACCAACCTTGCAGAAAATACAGTAACAGTTTTGCTCAAAATGGCCAAGAATTTATAAGCATTCATTTACCCTCAGTAGTCAAACATCCAGAAAATAAAAACTGTATCAATCACCCTCCCATTTTTTTCATTCTAAGAAAATTTGTGATCAGCTTCCATTTGCCTAGCTGTTTACCCCCTGGCCAGTTCCCCTCCAGGATTCTGCAAAATCCTGACTGCAGCACAGCATTCGGCACTATAGAAACGCACTGGACCAGTGTGCCGAAGCAAGTGAGCCAGAGAAAGGGCCAGCATGCTATTCTTTTCTCATCGTAGCCGAGGGAGCAAGTGAACAAGCTGTGCTGGCTTTACTCCATAGGCATCAAGTGGAAGCCAAGGCCATCTCCATTTAAGGGAGCTCTCTTACCATTATTGCGTTCTTGTGAACAACAGAGGATAGGCAAAGGAAAGCCAAAAATGCAATGCTCAAATAATTTGTTTCAGGATATAAAGGCGGTACAAATATTGTGAGGGTGTACATGTAAACAGCATAAAAAAACATCTGATCTAAAGCATTGACCACCAAAACCAGCTTCTCCAAACAAAAACTAGTATTAAAGCAAATTGCCAGACAAATAGAGCAAATGCCTTCAGATCGTATCTGGGGACAAAGGATTTTGTTCTGAGAAGAAAGCAGACTCTGTCCATTCTTTTCTTTTTGCTGTCATACTGTAAAAATATTGACTACCCTCAATTCACTTGACTAGTTTTTCAATAGCATAGTCATTCGTTCCTCTCCACACCCATATACCTTTTCTCTTCCTCTCATATTCATAATCAAAAGCTAAAGTCAAATAAAAACTCCTGTACAACACCCTATGGAAAGCAGCTCTAACCTTACAGTATTAAAAAGGAAAATTCTAAGTCTGATTATTTTTTGAGTTTACAAATGTATCTGTTTACATTTAAAAACCTGAAACAGTCATGTTCACCTCTGAGGAACAACTCCCACCAGCGCTGGTGGAAGCGAACATGAACAGAGCAGCTACAGCAAACAAGCCGTGTGCCATCTGTATTAGCGTTTTAACTTGTTTCCATTTTTGAAGCACTGCCTACTCGTCTCCACTCACTGTGGTTTTGGTTCACATTGAGGAAATTCCCTGCACGTGCCAGCTGGACTGATTTTAGATGGAACGGAGCTAGCATAGCTACTCCAGGGGACTGCATAACGCGCTCCAGTCCCCAGTGAACAACCAGTATTTAGGACCCAAACAGAGTTATACCATACTAAAACAGTTAAGCTTTCTAAAGTTGAGGGGTTTTGCCTCACCAAGTTGTGTGAATTTAAATGTTATTTTAAAAACAAACAGAAGATTCAGTACTGAAATTTGATTTATGAGCCCAAATGAGTTATATCATATCTATGAGTTAATACAGCCTTCTCAGAGGTTATCTGTAAGAATTCAATAAAGCCTGAATTTTTAACTCAGCTTCACCACATTCAGAGGAAAAGCTAGGGCAAGAACAGGACAAAATAAGCTAGTGCTAGACACAATCCCAAACACTGCCATTTACAGTGCAGGTTAAAATTTCCAAGGTAAAGATGATGGCATCTACTGTAAGTGCACGTGTCCATCTGTAAACCAAGTCTGACAGAGCACATGAAGACAAATGTAAGAGATACTAAGCACTTTCACAGTTGAAGCTATATGAGATATTCTTATTTGCTGTAACAGTAAAGGAATTCCAACAAAAGCAATCCCTCGTAAGGAATTCTTAAATGATTCCTGTATTGACATATTCTTCAAGGAGCAAGTCTTAAAGGCACAGGAGCAGGCTGTCCCCATGTGCCACAAGACAAACCGGCAGGGAAGATGACCAGCCTGGCTGAACAGGGAGCTCTTGCTGGGACTCAGAGAAAAAAGGAGGGTCTACCACTTTTGGAATAAAGGGCAGGTGACTCAAGAGGATTACGGAGATCTCATTAGGTTGTGCAGAGAGGAAATCGGAAAGGCAAAAGCCCAGCTAGAACTCAGGCTGGCCACTGTTGTAAGGGGCAACCAAAAATGTTTTTACAAATACATTAACGACAAAAAGAGGGCCTAGGAGAATTTCCATCCCTTATTGGATGAAAGGGGGAATATTGCCAACAAGGATGAGAAAAAGGCTGAGGTACCTAATGCCTTCTTTGCCTCAGTCTTTAATAGTTGGACCAGTTATTCCCAGGGTATTCAGCCCCAAGAGCTGGAATACAGGGATGGAGAGTGGAACAAACCTCCCATAATCCAGGAGGAAGCAGTTAGCAACCTGCTGTGCCACCTGAACACTTACAAGCCTACGGTGCCAGATGAGATCCATCCAAGAGTACTGAGGGAACTGGTGGAGGAGCTGGCCAAGCCACTCTCCATCATCTATCAGCAGTCCTGGCTACCAGGGGAGGTCCCAGGTGACTGGATGATCGTCAATGTAATACGCATCTACAAGAAAGGCCAGAAGGAGGATTCCGGGAACTACAGGCCTGTCAGCCTGACCTCGGTGCCGGACAAGATTATGGACCAGTTGATCTTGAGTGCACTCACTGGGCATGTGAAGGACAACCAGAGGATCAGGCCCAACCAGCATGGTTCATGAAAGGCAGGTCCTGCTTGACCACCCTGATCTCCTTCTATG